TGCTTTGACTCGAATGGCTTCTGCTTTGACACAAACCATCGAAATCATCAAATGATTTATCAGTGGATGGCGTTTGGGCTCCGATTTCTATCGATGGCCTCAGCCGTGGGCTCTCGGGATCTAAAGAAGAAATACATTAGATTTAAATACCCATAACTTATACTAAAGATCCAAACCGTGAGATATTATGCTGTCCTGTAATGAAGTCTCGGCGGTGTCTCTGCTTTGAGTACTTAAGTCAAGTTTATTGTCGCCGACAGTCGATTCGGAGGACACAATGACCGGTTCGGGACCATCGCTGGTCTCTTCCTGACTCGCTTCGGCCAATCGGTTATAAAAACAATTGAATTTCTCTTCCAATTCTTTGTTTTTGAATTTAATATTCTTTGGCGAAATATTTGGCTGCGAAAAGTCTTTTCGGGAACAGTTGTGACATAAATAACCGCTGCCTTCTGTCCGAATTGGCGGCGGTTTATGTTGTTTAATGTCTTCAAATGATGTCTGTTTAATGAGTTGTGATTTGGTTACCAATTCCTGTTTCACCACTCCTGAGGGTCCGGCGCCGCCACTACTACTACTAGTACTCGAACTACTAATGCCCGTCTGTTTGCTCGAAGACTCGCTACTGAAAGACGATCGCGAGATACGACTCGTGTAAGTGGATGTCGACGACGAGTCCTGACGAGAGCACGACATACTTGAGTCCTGCGATGTCTGTCAAGAATTTGCCAATTAATACATGAATAATAATTGTTAATAAAATCGTGTAAATAANGACGATCGCGAGATACGACTCGTGTAAGTGGATGTCGACGACGAGTCCTGACGAGAGCACGACATACTTGAGTCCTGCGATGTCTGTCAAGAATTTGCCAATTAATACATGAATAATAATTGTTAATAAAATAGTGTAAATAATAGTTTACTATTAAAACTAACTTTTCTCGATATATTCCAAGAGTTTCTTCGGCCTCGAGTTGTCTGAGCGATGGTCTGACGACTAGTGTTTCGATTGCTTTTGTCGATATTCTTCAGCTGTATGTTTGCGTTACGCCAGGAATCAGATCTCGACGAGAAGTTATCGCTGGAAATACTGGCCGCTCTTCCGACCGTCCGATCCTTACTCTTCTGGCAGTCAGTGCTTTCATTTGTGGTTTCATTACTGAAATGTTGCAAATTATTTCGTTTATTGAAATGAAACCAATCGATCGCTCTCTGCCTCCAACTGATCGATGCCTTAAGACTAGTCATTAAACGGATTTCTTCGATCGATACCTAAAGACAACAAAATAATTGAACAATTATTTCATCTAAATTTCAATCTAACAAAGAGTATAGACCTTTGGTTTACGAATACCGCACTGACAGACAAGTTGTGGCAAATGGTCACTACCGGTGCTCTTGCGCTCAATGGCTGAGTTGGAAACGGCAGGCGTGTGTCGGTTGGAGAAGTTGGATGAGTTGCGACAGCGACCGATACCGCGGGTCACTCGCGACTCTTCGATGCGTTTACACAACAAAACGCAATCCTTTTTGAATTGTTTGGTGAAAATGGCGTAAAGGAATGGATTCGCACATGAATTCAACGGCAGTATAAATATTGTGAACACTTTTGACTCCTCTAATGAAATGAGATGAAGACCAGAGACAGACGTCAACGCGAAAAAGGCAATCGGAGCCCAACACAGAAAATCGGTGAACACTAAGAGAGCCATTCGTTTGGCGATACGGGAATCGTTTGAGTTCCAGGCCTTCAACAGATTCGACAAAAAAATTGATACATATTTTTTTGGGACAAACAATGAGTGAATTGAGACCTGAGATCCTCTGATAGCGCAATACATCCTTAAGTAACAGCCCATTAGGACGAGGAATGCGACGCCGTTTATGAGTATTAAGAAGACGACATAAGTCAGGGACCAAACGGAGTCCTCGACTTCAAAGGGAAGACAGACCGCAAACTTGCGATAATCGCTAATACCTAAGAGCGGCAAAATAGCCATACATATGGCAAACATCCAGCCGATGGACATGATATAAGACGCGTGCTTTAGTGACAGCCGTTTGTTGAGATGCATGGCGTGAGTGATGGCATAGTTTCTCTCCATCGTAATGACGGCCAGAGTATAAACAGACAATTCGCTGCTAAACACGCCGAAAAAGCCGGCCATTTGACAGCCCCATGAGGTCTGCCATCGTATGGCAAACACCTTGAACTCGCCGAGAGTCGACGCGTCCACTATTGCCAGTACTCCCAGATATACGCCCATAAAGAAGTCAGCCATCGCTAGATTGCAGACCAGAAATCGGGGCACATCTATCTTACTTCTGCCAAATATCAATACAACCACAACAACACCATTGCCCAGAAGTGCCAATAAGAATACGATCCAAACGCCGCATCTCAATGTCCACCAATCAAACAGATCTTTGCAGGGCATGAATGGGCCTAACATTTGAATGGTTTACTTTTATTAAATTATATTTTTTTTAAATTAAGAGCTAATTACAGACCCGGTTGTGGCAGACAGTGAACAGGAAAACTACTAATAAGTGTTTTGTCCAGATTTGGGTTCGGTTTGTAGTCTTCAAAATACTGTTCCGCATATTCAGCGATATTATCGGGAATGACATAATCGCGGCCCAAGTTTTTCCACAACTGATTGGCGAACTCTTCAAACTTGGTCGAGAAGTTGACAGCTCCGGGCCACACATCTGTCACATTCGTGTTCCAGATGTCCTCTTTGTCCAGCCATACGATTGACTCCTCCAGAGATTTGGGATTATCTGTCGGAGAGTGTGTTCTCCCGATATAAGCGCAACAGTGATAGGCGTAAGAAAGGGCTAATGTATGCACTCTTGGAAACGCCTCCACCGGTGGAAACTCTTTGAGGTTTCGATTGCCATAGACTTTGATCTCAGAGATATTCTGCAGACCTTCTGTCGGAAGTGTTGGAAACCGATTATCGCCTAAATTTCTGTTCAAAATATCAAAGGATTTGTTGTAATAATTGACATAAAATGAGATTATTATATAAAAAACATACAAATCCTTAAGCGAAACGAGTGGTAGGAATGCCAACGAATGTATAGATGTTATCCTATTTCGGACTAAATTTAATACTTTTAGACTCGAGAGTCCATAGAAAGCGTTTTGTGGTATATCTGTGATTAAGTTATGGCTCATAAATAAGTCAATTAGTTTTGATTGATTGGCAAACATTGGTTCGCTTCCAAACGATTTGATGCGATTATAACTAAAATCTCTGTCAAATCGGAGTCACAGAAAGACATCTTTCAATTAGTTGGCAATAATTGGTTTAAAGGAAACAAACTTACAGTAGTTTGAGTTCATGACAGCCGTCCAGTCTTGGAATTGTACTGATTTTGTTTGATTTGATAATTCTGTAATTTATGCAAATAAGTATACAATTAATTATTTTTTAATTATATAAATTAATATAAGATTTGGAATAAAATTAATTGTAACTAAATTACTAATTCAATAATATAATAATATATAAAGCTATATATAGTAAACTACTTTTCTTTGCAGACAAATAAAAATTAATTGTAATGAACAGCAAATAAAGAGTAAACCATTTTATTGGAGATATTGTTTTTACATGAGCTAAACATGAGTTATGATTTCGTCGATATGTTATATCTTAGACACCACTGTATTGAATGTCTGGCAATAAAAACCAAGAATATTCTCTCAATGAACATCACTTTTGTGCTCCAATACAGACATGTAATGCCATTAATTCATTCAATTCCTATCATAAAAGTCATGCGAAATCTATATAATCTTGTGGTCAATAACCAAACGATTTGGAATTTTTTCAAATTTATTCTTATTATTCTGAATTAAATTTAAATTATTTTTAAGTTTGAAAATTTATTTCATCGCATATTTTAATAGAAATGCGATAAAAATATTTTATATTTAAATATTTTGTAACAAATTATGTAAACATATTTTTAAGAAAAATGTTAATAACGAGAAAAAGTGGTTATAAATACACTGTAAGGCTATGAATGATTGCAATGGAGAGTAATTTGTTACAAATATCATGCATTTCATCACAGGTTGAGTGCAATTCATAAACTCTTTATCATTCTTGAGAATTGATTTATGAATGAAGAATTGAATGCCATTTCTGTTCAAATTATTATACGATTGCATGCATTCATACATTTAAAAGGATTGAATGAAAACTGTCGCTCAATGTTTTGTTCTCTCTCTCT